GGGGGGGGTATGGCAAGATGGGAGGGAGGGAGACTGCTTAACAACGTCCAAGAAGACGAAGAAGATGGAAAGATGGATGGATGGATGGAGGGGGGGAGGGATGGCGAGATGGGGGGATGGAGGGATGGAGGGAGACTGCTTAACAAGGTCCAAGAGGAAGAAGGAGATGGATGGATGGATGGATGTAGGGGGGGAGGTATGGCGAGATGGGAGGGAGGGAGACTGCTTAACAACGTCCAAGAAGAAGAAGAAGATGGACGGATGGATGAAGGGGGGGAGGGATGGTGAGATGGGAGGGAGGGAGGGATGGCGAGATGGAAGGGAGGGAGGGATGGTGAGATGGGATGATGGAGAATGGCGAGATGGGATGGAGGGAGGGACGGATGGATGGATGGATGGATGATGGCGAGATGGGATGGAGGGAGGGAGGGATGGATGGGAGGATGGAGAAAGGCAGGGGGGGAGTAGGGAAGGAGGGGAAGAAGAAGAAGAGGAGAGAAGAAGACCTAACGAATGGAAAAGAAGAAGAAGAAGAAGAAGAAGAAGAAGAAGAAGAGGGTGAAGAGGGGAAGAAAAAGAAGACGAGAGGACGACGAGGAGAGAAGAAGGAGAAGACGAAGAAGATGAGCGGAGGAGGGGGGGGAGGACGGCCTCCGTTTTTTTTTTTTTTTTTAACCTGTCGTGTATCATGCGACCTACCGAATGCCGACGAACTAAAAGAAGAAGAAGAAGAAGGAGAAGAAGAAGAAGAAGAAGAAGAAGAAGAAGAAGAAGAAGAAGAAGAAGAAGAAGATAGGGAAGAAATATGGCTGCGGTAGGGTATGGTGGTGGCGGGGTGTGCCGGAAGTGTATGGCGGCGGCAGGGTATGGCAGTACGGTATGGCGGTAGGGTATGGCGGCGGTAGGGTAAGGCGGCAGCGGGGTATGGCGGTGGGTTATGGCGGCAGCGGTAGGCTATGAAGAAAGCCAGGGAGGGAGTTAGGAAGGACGGGAAGAAGAAGAAGAGGAGAGAAGAAGACCTAGCGAATGGAGCAGAAGAAGAAGAAGAAGAAGAAGAAGAAGAAGAGAGGTGAGGAGGGGAAGAAGAAAAAGATCAAGAAAGGTCAGGGAGAAAGATGAAAACGCGAGGGGGAGGAGGGTAAGAAGAAGAAGACGAGAGGACGATGAGAAGAGAAGAAGGAGGAGAAGAAGAAGATAAGCGGAGAAGGAGGGAGAGGAGGACAGCCTTCTTTTTTTTCTTTTTTTTTCACCTGTCGTGTCTCACGTGACCTACCGAATGTTGACGAACTAGAAGATGGAGAAGAAGAAGGAGAAGAAGAAGGAGAAGAAGAAGGAGAAGAAGAAGGAGAAGAAGAAGAAGAAGAAGAGGAGGAGAAAGAAAACGAGAAAACGAGAAGAAGAAGAAGAAGAAGAAGAAGAAGAAGAAGAAGAAGAAGAAGAAGAAGATAGGAAAGAAATATGGCTGCGGTAGGGTATGGTGGCGGGGTGTGGCGGTAGGGTATGCCGCCGGTAGGGTATGGCGGCGGCGGGGTGTGGCGGAAGTGTATGGCGACGGTAGGGTATGGCGGCGG